TTTTTGGATAAAAGTGACATTTATCTTCCGGAATGGTTTGCGATTCATATCGGCAAGGTAAACTAGTGTATTTTGCTATAAAATGTCCTCTAAAATAACTCTGTATATTGCAGAATAAACTAGTAGTGATGACCAGAAAACAGGTGTTTTGGGGTAAACAATTAGAAATTCTCAAAAACTACTCCAATTTTGTTGTGGTTATTAAGAAGTACGAATCCTACGGATCTGAAGAATTTCAAATATCTGAGAGAAACCATCGTGGCATTATCAAGTGCCAAATCCTGCAGTTTGCCTCGGTTTTCGGTCATAACTTTTCTGCCATTAGTCGTATCTTTTTTACGTGTGGTCTCATTTTGTAGGTCTCATAAATACCTAAAAATCTTGTATGAAGAGTTTTTTCGTTTCTTCCAACACTTTCGACTGAATTCCAAAAAACACGTTTTCTCATTATTTGTTGTCGAATAAAAAGTTTTCCCACAAAATTGGTGTACCCATTTTATGCGCCCATGTTTTGAATACCCCCTTGAACAACTTGCATGATTGGATTATAGTTTGTTGATAGCAGAGTTCTCAGCAACTGCATGTAAAACACTATTCTGAGTTCCCTCTCAAGATTCCTTATTTCGAGACGTATCAAGCTTTTTGAATGATATTCAATATTCATTTAAATTTCCAACTCTAAGGAAATGATAATTTGCTGCTTTCTTTAGGGAAATTTATCAAGATACATTTTTGCAGTATTTTTAGTATTTTGTAGCACAAAATGTAGCACGTGAGCATGCCGAACTTTTCTTCACTGCTAAAATGACAGCCTGGCATTCATGATAATAAAGCAATATTACCAATAAACACCAATAATAGTACTCGGTGATAGGTTTTTACTTGTAAGTCAAACATTTGGTTGCATAGCCTACTTGAAAAAATAAAAAAATCAGTAAAAACGTATTTTTCCTATTAACCAAGAAAATAAATACAAAAGTTTAATTAGTTTTTCGATATCTCATAAAATAAAATCAGAAAAATATAAATAATAAATTATTTGGCGAAATTTTAGTTTTTCCCATATAACTCAGTTCGTCCCGAAATTTTGTAAAACGATGAGGTACCCTTCTCAAGTTGAACAGTTGCTTGAATTAATAAAATTTAATAGAATCCACCCCTTAGGGTGATATCTTGCTAAATCTCATTATCCCGTAATTACCGAGTCACAAGCAATTATGCAATTAATTATCCGGCATCGGTGTTATGCTAACATTAACTTAGAGATACTGAGATATTGATAGCTAATTATTAACCTCAACTGCTGTTTGTATACATATATGTATGACAATCATAGCCAAATATCTGTAATTATATCCCCGAGCATGCATACAAAACCAATGCGTCACCGGATTAACATTAAATTTAACAATAATAATGATCCTGTGAGTACACCAACTGATATTTGCAGTGTGGAATCTGTCACATTCTGATTCATGCTAAAAAAATATTATATTTTAATACATTTAAACGCAGCCTTTTATAACATTATTGCCTTTTCAGCGCTGTTAGCAACCAAAATGTCACATGAGAGCTTTAAAAACTATACATGGAAAAATATTAAGAGAAAGATAAAAATGAGGGCAAAAAGCACCAACGTAATATCGAAAGCATAATAAAGTGTGTTAAAAATAGAAGACGATATTGAAATGAACATAGAAATCGAATGGAATATGATAGCGACAATAGGCAAGACAAATAATCAAGACGAAAAAAGATCACAAGGAAAAAGAATGATGTTTGGAATGATGGAGAGGCAATGGTTCAGTGAAAAAGCCAAATTGCTTATTTATAGTATACAACCCTCACCATTGCGATCTCGGAAACTGTAAGAGATGCGAAGTCGCATAAAATGGGGTAAAGTTGCGTAATTAGGTAATTAATAAAATGCCGCGTAGGAAGTTTCAAAATTCAAAGTACTTCCGAAGAGAGTCGGAAAAAATCGAATTTTCCCAAAATGGTTTTAATTTTTCCCGCACTTTATTTGACGTGGGATTTTAAAATAAATTACACATTGACATTTCATATTTATCTCCTCTACAAGTTGGCATAATTAGAATTTCAACATGACGTTTCGTCTCTTGTACTCCAGCATCAACTTTATTTTCTTATGGATACTTAAGCATAGTAGTTAGAGGTCGTTTTTGTAGAACAGTCTCTGAGATTCTGCAGGGCGCACTGCGAGCTGTGGAATCATGGTGTAGGGAAGTTGATCTTTCTGATCCTGCTGATCCTATTCACTAGGAGAAGGCTTAACAGGCTTGTCTTGCCGAACTTTTTTGGGACTAGATTAGTTCTATCCCAATCAGTAAAACATCTAGGAATTATCCTGGACTGCAAATTGACCTGGAGAGAGCTCGTTGAATTTAAGGTTAACAAGGCTCGCAATTCATTGTGGGCTTGTAGACGCGTTGCTGGTGTAAGGTGGGGCTTAAACCCAAAGTGGTTTACTGGCTCTACACGACGATAGTGCGTCCATCTCTCTTGCACGGCTCCTCTAAGGCCAAATTCAACAAAATTCAGCGTTTTTCTTGTATCAGCATTAAAAGCGCAGGGCGGACAACGCCAGTGAGTGCAACGGAAGCTCTGCTGGATCTCCCATCGTTGGATCTAATGATCCGCGGAAAAGCGAGAGTAGTCGCACAACGACTGTGGAGTTGGGCAGCTGGGCCTTCTTGAGTCCTGTCAAGGGTCATACTGCCATCCTAGTCGAACTGCAAAGGGTCCTTCTGAGCATGTGTGATCTAATTCCCCCTAAATATCGGTTCAACCGCAAGTTAAATATGGAGTATCCAACGAGGGAGGAGTGGGACGCCGGTTGCCGGAGGCTCACCGCAGTGAGAGGGCAAGTCTGGTACATGGACGGCTCGGTCACCGAAGAGGACTCTAACGCTGGGGTCTCAATGCCTAGGACTAGACTATCTCTGCCTCTTGGTGGATACACTACTATTTTTCTCGCGGAAATGGTCGCGATTCTGGCTTGTGTATCCCTGATTTTGGAAGGGGGGTCGGCCTAGGAGAAGAATAACAATCTTCTCCGACAGCCAGGCTGCAATGAAGGCACTAAGTGACTATAAGATTACTTTGAGCCTTGTATTGCAATGCAGGGAGCCTATGGATTGTCTAGCAGCGTGGCATACGGTATCGTTAGTGTGGGTACCGGGGTACGCTGGGAGAAAGGGCAATGAGACGAGGACGCTCTGGCGAAGACAGGATCAGCCAGCAAGCTCGTTGGTCCTGAGCTAGCTTTAGGGGTGCCCGCGCTAAGAGTTAGGAGGAGAAGCATCCCCAAATATCTACGTCAAGCACGCTAAGGATCGACGTTTTTGCTTATCTTTGGATACAGCCAACCTAAGGTTGCTGGTGGGACTGTTGACTGGCGCTCACACGTTAAGGCGCCACCTGCACGTGATGGCTGAGGATCCCTGTCAGCGCTGCGGGGTAGAGGAAGAGACCTAGGCGCACGTTCTGTGTCGCTGTGAGGCTCTTAAGGAGGTTGGACTCAAGGCTATACTCAACTTCGCTAGAATGGCGAGGCTTGAGGTCTAAGGAATGTGGACGTGCATAAGGGCCCGTCTAAGTGGCCTATGCGCTGGCTCCTTATGGAGGCCGGTATGCCTCTAATTTCATATTTTTATACCTTCGTTCTTATGGACGCCATATTGGATTTTTGCATAGATCAACAGAGTTTTTAATTCTGATTCCAAACATGTTAGTTGGCCATGAATTTGTTGTTGGATGACAATCATAAGCAAATAAAAAGGTATAGGAAAACCTGAACACAATATGAAAATTTTATTGATGGTAATAGCAATAATAGTCATAAATAAGCAGAGGTAAAACATAGCAGATGTTCAAAATCAAAATCTTCTATGTACATTGTTCACTGTTCGATTTATTTCTCTACTTCTCAGTCTTCTAAACTTGGTTGCTATGTTTAAAATGAAATCTGATAATTTTAAGGCCTACCTAGGAAATTCTGTTTTTCTGAAATAACTAAGGCTTGGCAATATCAATGGTTGACATATGATATTTTTGAAATCAGAATTAAAACCTCTATTCATCTGCGCAAAAATCCAATATGGGGTACATAAGAAAAAATAAAGTTGATTCTGGAGGACAAATGACGAAACGTCATATTGAAGTTCTAATTATGTCATCTCGTAGAGGAGAAAAAGTAGGCAACGTTAATGTGCAATTTATTTTGACATCTCATTACAATTAAAGTCAGGGAAAAATTAAAACGATTTTGGGTAGATTCGTTTTTTTTCGTCTCTCTCCGGAAATACTTTAAATTTCAAAACTTTTTTAGCGGCATTTTCTTGATTGCGATACGTCATTTTAAAGCTTCCCGAGTACTTTCTAATTCTAAAATATCTTTGAGAATGGGGAACGGGTATTGTCCGAAAGTTGACCGTTTTCATAAATTGAGTATAAGTGACTCAACTAAAAAAACGAATTATCAAAACGCTGTTATACCTGTATCAACCTTCTTCTCTTGGAAGGATCTATCCGAATATGAAATAAAATATGATACGTTTCAATTCATTTTTTTAAACTTAATTTTTTATTGCACATTCAGATAGACCCTTAGAAAAAGAGAAGATTGATATTAACATACTATAACGTTTTGATGATTAGTTGCGGAGTTATAAGCGGTCCAATAAACAAAAACACTAATTTTTGACAGCTTCCCAGTCCTCCATTTTGAAAGATAGTGATTCTATATTCTTATGAAGTATTTATATATAAGCATTTTGAGTGAGAATTAGTAAGTATCTAATTCGAATTACAGTTGAGCATTCTTATCGATCAGAAACTTCAGCCAAACTATTTTTAAGTGCTTCAGTCTTTCTGCAATTGCATGTAAGATTTTCGTTCATGTCTTGAAGGCTATGTAAAGGCTGTATCGATTTTTCATAATGATATTAAGATGGCATACTACAATGTCATTCTCTTACCTAAGATTGTGGTGGTGGTTGTTGTTAAGCAACCCCCTTGAGGTAGTTGTTAGGGATGTGGGAACTTCGCTGTCGCTATGACTATCCGATGTGTCTGATTCGTATGGACGGGGACTCTGGAAAGGAAAGAACATGTATAAATGCGATCGAAACGTCAAATAACATATGTATGGATCCACAATGTTTGGCAACTGATTTCAACTATTTCCTATTCTCTTATGACTCTAAAATTTATAGTATTATGTACCACTTACAGGCTGATATTGAGTTCTGATTATCGAATATAGAGCTTATCATCAATTTTAGTTTTCCTACTACGCTTAATATCTAGCCAAGAAATTACTACTGATTAGCGAAATTTACAATATCAAGCTATATTAGCTATTAAATATTTGAATTGACTGTAGCATTTCGACAAATTTGAAGATGATCTGTCATTAATTATTACTGCAGTTAATGACATTTTAGCAGAATCATTTAAACGGTCGTATTATTCTAAATGGGTTAGTTCATATTTTAGTTTAAATAAATTCAATCATTTCCCTTTGTTTGCTTATAAACATGGTAGAACGTTGCATTTATTAGGTAAATGGAATCAAGGTAATTTGCAAGAAATATTCTTTTGGTTATAAGTTTTATCGTGGTCGTCCCGTTTCGAAAGTACACGGTGGACAAAGCTTTAGGATAAATTCTTTATTAGCAAGATTCGCATGTGAAGCTTCTTAATTTGCAACTATTTCGTTAACAACGTCTGGCAACTATAGCGCAATATTTCTAATCTTGTCGTCATAGACTGCATACGGCTTACATACATCTCCTCTCTGATTACTGGTTAGTTTTTGGTAGAATCATATAAATATTGGACTCATATTAGCCAGTTTTTCTTGGGACCATTCCAAATTATTCGCTTACGCTTCTACAATGGATAATGAGAGAGAAATGGTTTCTATCAAGGTAGCGTAGTAAAATAACACTGTGATCAGTTCATAAAGTATCATCTTCGGCTAAATGCGACTATGTAGAACAGGTAAATTAAATGCATGAAATCAGTCAAATATATCCAAATTTATAACAACGTTGCAATCTATGAATGTCTCTTCATCTTTACTGACCATCCGACAACGTTCCGATAAGAGTAGCGATGAGTAAACTGCCAGCGGCAGCGGCTAGGTTGCGCCAGGTTTAAATAATATTTTCGTTCCGCTCGATGCGGGCATCGAAAATATTTATCATTCTTCATTTTCGACATTTCTGGAATCACAATAGATTCTCGCCAATTGGCTTGGAAACTAAAACCGGTATATCACTGTAGTGTGCTAAATTTCAAGCGACCACACGGTGAAAATTCAAAAAGATAGTGCTGTCATCAGTAACGCAAAGATGGGGAATGAACAATATTCTAGTTTTAGTAACCATAATTTTCTTCGCTCCATATTGAGCTCCTTATCCATGTACAGAGACTTCGAATATATTGTAAAAAGTGCTACTAGAGTTAAAGGTTAGAGTCAGTTCACCCACTAATTATAGGGCGGCGTCATGCTAGAAAACTGGAAATGTCTAACTTATTCAGGACCCGACTGACCTGAATCACCTCATGGAAATACATACCCGCCATCATTCCTTGAATTGTCAAACTCATCTTCATTTAATATTTTAAACTTTTCTACTACACTCGGGCAACGAAACGGAACGAAACAATATCCACAGCTCGTCGGCTTTTCGGGGTGCATAAATTTATTGCACGTGTACATGGGCGTGCTCATGGAGGAAATGGGGAGGGACAAGGGGGAAAGTAAGGGGTTGAAGGTCTGCCCCCACCTTTATCGACTGACTGAAATTTTTATGATGAGATAGAGCATATGAGCCTCGGTGCAATTAGCAAAGTAATGAGTGATGTTTTCGTACATTGTCGTCCAAATAAACAGTTTAGATCATTCCTTTGATTTTTGAGTTAGGGCTGGTATTGTCAAATGTTTGAAATTTCTGGCATGCTATGTGTTCGCAATTGCATATGAAGTATTCAGAGGATTCTTTCTATAGGTTGCTGTTGGTGCGAGAGAGCTTTGACACTGTCCATCAAGGAAGTAAACACTTCAAGCAATTTCTGAGATTATTCGACCAGTCCGCATTAAATGCTTGAAACTACTTCTTCCTAGACACAACTTCAGTACCAGGTTAACCCTGAGGTACGTTTCCATCAGCCCTGGGCAGCTTTTATACCTCTTCAGAGATATTTTTGGTATCCAGATGGCCAACCATGGACAGCTGTTTCGTGGTATTTGTCAACAGAGTGTAGACTTCGTCTCAGTGGACAACGAACGAATTCTACTCTACTGCCGATGATACACATGTTGCAAATGTATTGTAATGGTAGTGTACCGTTTCTTTCTGTATCTGAAAATATTTTAATCCATTCCTCAACGTTTCTTCCTCTTTATCTTTATTCAGATACACGGCAATGCATTATTGATAGTAGATATGTAGAAACAGTGTTACATCACCACAAAATCGTATTTAGCGCTGTTAGTTTCCCCATGTTGTGCATTTGCCCACCAGATTGTCCGATAAATCTTCTTTAACCGACTTTGGGATCAACAACGGATCTCATTGGCAGATGCGCTGATTTATTCGGTCTGCAAAGGCATGGATGGATACAAAGGGTAGGCGACGGGTGCTATTACCCCCACGGACAGTGAATATCATAAACCTAACTTTTGTAGGACGTCTTTAAAATCCCTTTGATTTTCATAGTTTTCTTCTGTTCCGTGTCAACGCTATATTTTGAGGTTATGTTGCAAATATCTATTTGCATTCAATTGCTCATGCTATTGATCTATAATCAAATCCAAGCGAATAACCAAAATTTCTGTGTTATGTGCCGCGATTGATGACGTCAGTTACACGAATCGGTTGAACGCGTTGGTTTTAACCGCGGTTTTGTTGCAAGTTGTTTATTTTAGAAAAGCGCGTATATAATCTCTGATTATTTTTATTATCACTTAATAATCGGTGCTTTTTCGTCTACAACTGTATATGGAAAGTTTAAATAAGAAACCTTTCATAATATTCATGGGAAAAATGTTTTTTTCAGATTTTTTTTTAATGATGGAACCATGACTTTGTAGCTATGATAACTTTCAATTCTCTAATTTTTTCCGCATGTCAAAGAAAACATTTATTGATTCAGCAGAAATGATGAAAAAAGAAATTAGCAAAACCGTATACAGGTGGATATCATCTAGTGAGTTTATATGGCCATATTTTAATATTCTTGTGGTATATGGCTACACAGGATACTTTGTTAAGCATAGGAACTACATTTAAAGTGTCCCAAACAACCGTAATGAGTATAACTAATAAGGTGCTCCACTTTATGGTAAAACTGAAGTCAGCCTGTATTATTTTTCTCAAAAATGAAGCTGAAGTACAATAACAATATCCAATACGCGGCAAAATTCTAACGTGTCACATTTCAAATAATAACCAGAAATATAAAACTACTCTTGAGTTGGGTAAATACCACAATTTTGCGGTGATAACTATGATATATAACAGCTGATTCGTGACGTCACGGATCTTATAACCAAACTGATAACTACACTCGCTTGAACGGATTGGTAAATACCAACCCAAAATGGTAAATACCATTTCCATTTGGTTATCCGCTTGAATTTGATTAAAATCATCTGTTACATCAGCCTGAAATTTCCTACAAGTCAAAAAGAAAACATAACCTCGCAATAGAAGAGTGCTGACGCTGACAGTAGAAATCTAGAAATATCCCAGCCTTTCTGAAGGAGAGAAAATACTATGAAAATCAAGGGGGCCATAAAGGCCGACTGCCGATAAGGCCCTAAATATATTCTGAAACTAATAATGGACATTGGACACACAGTGCTGTATTCCACCCACTTGTGTTTGTTAGAGAATTTTCCTGCCCACGCATAAGTGAGGATTTAGAGTCTCTGATCGAGGAGATTTTCAGTTTCAGATTCATTTTGGACATTCTATCATGACATCATGAAAATTTATAACACTTATTCTTGGCTTTCTTGTAACCGCGCAATCTCAAAAAAGGCTGTATCAATTTTGAAAAAAATTGACGAGCAATTCTGGGCGTAATGCTACTTTTTATGATAATGCTTAATTTCCATTAAATAGTGTCGCTTTTCTCATAGGAATTCACAAGTCAATTTGCATTTATCCTTTTATGGTTATCAATTCTCCATAAATAGCAATGCTCGTAAAATTTATTTGGCAATGAATTTTTATTTATAGTATGTCGAAATGCCAGACAAATATTACTACCTTCCACTCCACTCACAAGTGGTTCAGCCAGTTAACTGGGTTGAGTAGATGAATCACTTTCTTTGAGTAAAAATAATTGTACACCCTCAGTAACGATCATCCTGCATTATATGGTAAGACAAACTAAACAAAGATATTTCATGGACTAAATAGAAAGCTTTATAAGCATCCAAATTTAGTTGAAACGAACGATATACTTAGACTGATTGTTAAAATTTTTCCAATTGAGCTATCATAATGTGCAATTAAGGTAATTACGTTACGCATTAATATTTATATTAAACATGATTATTGTAATCATGAAATGAGTTTCTTTATTCTGGAACGAAAGTTCCCACACTGCAGCCACGGAAAATAATCGTTTTCCTCACGCAAAAATACGGGATCTTGTTCATTTCGTACAAATAGTAGTTCCAGCAGAGCTGGAGAATCGAATAATAACCATACCGCTTTGAATTATATACAGTAATTTTTACATCAATTAAGATAGATCTAGCTGAAATTCTTTATTTCTAACAAGTGGAAGACAAGTGATTTTCGTTTTGAAACTAAAATTAATGTCCATTAGAATATTCAACACAGGTCCATATCTACGAGGAAGAAAGACACGTACCTGTATATTGAACAAAAATAACCCATCAGAATAGGTGGTTGAACACATTCAATGAGTCGAGACCCACGAAAAAGTGACCAAGATGAGTTTTCTGCTGTTAGAGACATGTTGGTTAGCGAATATAGGGGGTGTCCAAGCTAAGTATCCTATGGATATGGATCTCAATAGCTGTAGGAGATACAGCTTAGGTTAAACTAGAAAAAATCTGCGTTC